AACAGAACAGAACAGAACAGAACAGAACAGAACAGAACAGAACAGAACAGAGGTTTGAGGCTGGGCAGAGCGAAGCTGCAGGCTGGGAGTCTGGGTAATGTTAAGGGAAGCAGGAGGAGAGGAGAATGGGAGGAGCTTCCTCTCCTCCCCTCCTCTATCCCCTCCCCTTGCTCTTCCCCTTCCTCCCGCTCAATGTCTAGCCAGTCTCCTTGTGGAGGAGCTACCTTCTTCTCCGACACACACGGGAGAGAAAAGGGGGTTACCAGGACGCCAAACTACACAGGTTCCTGTTAGGGTCAACAGCCAGTTCCCACTCTGCAAACTATCCTATAGTCCTGAGGGATGTCCAGGCCTCCTGGCTCGGCCCAGCACCCTGGGTCTAGCTTTGGTCATCCAGTCTCTTACCTGACTTGCTGTCAGCGGTAGACGTGGTAGACTGCTCCGTGGGACAGGGACAGGGGCCCTCACATCTCACCGCCAGCTGCTTGTTGCTCAGGCATGCCTGCTGTTCCAACTTACACTGCAGGAGAGAGCTCAGGCTAGGTGAGGGGCTCAACTATGGGTCCTGTAGCCAGGGGCCCTGAGAATGTCTATCACTCTGGATGGAAGGGCCACAGGGTCTTGTGCTTGCTAGAGACTATCAGTGGAGTGTTAAAACCCCAGTTCGGGGCTTCTACCGTACCTTGATCATTGAGTTCTTGGATAAAAACCACACATTCACAGAGTTTATATTTACAATACGTCTTAAGCAGCACACGTGCTGGGCGGCTGCCTACCCTCTATATTGTTAGAATCTACTTTCTTGTCGATAACCCTGAGTTCTTATTTACTATGTTTTATCTGGGCTGCTCTGAGTTCCAATCGGGCAGCCGTTAGGTCCACGTTTTCTTGACTCTTAACCCACGGCTGCTTCCTTTTTCCTCTCCTGAACAGATTTTTTTTTTTAATCCCATGATGGCTTCTTCTTTTTTCTTCTTCTCCTCGTGGACCTCTCTGACCCAAGCCCACAAAATCTCAACTCTACCCACGTCCTCTGTCCAGCTACTGACAATTAACGTCTTTCTTTCCTAATCACAGGCAACTAGAGACAAGATCACTTAACTAATGTCAATACACAGACTCTCTCTTCTCTAGGACAACTAATTTTCAGGGCCCAAATTAACATTAAAATACAAATAACTTCAGGCCAACCCACTACACATCAAGGCCAAGGGAGGCTCACAGCCATGCCCAGGGCCATGAGCTTGAGATGGAAGCCAGGCCTCCTGAACATTTAGATGACCCTTGTCCTCTCCTGCGGGACATAGGTTTCCTCCTCCTCATCTGCACCCCACGTTTTTCTCCTCCTCTTCCTCCCAACTCCTCTCTGCTGTCTCCTTCCCTCATCTTTGTGTGTTTCCTGTTCCTATGCCCCCTCAGCAACTTTAACCTCAGCATAGAATAACAACCTCGTGGATTTCCAGTTTAACTGAGAAACCCTAACCCAATTTCTAAGAAGGAAGAACGATGGAGAACAAATTCCGGCATCAACCTGGGCCCATATACATGCAAACATGTACGTGCATGCTCATACACACACATACACATGCACACACATATGCAAACATGTACACACATGCATGCACATACATGTACACATACATGCAAACATACACATACACACACATGCACATATACACACAAACATGCCAGCTCACATTCACACACATGCAAACATGTACACACATGCACACATACACATGTACACACATGCAAACATGCACACACACACACACATCATAGGAAAATAGAAAAAGAAGAAAACAAAACACAAACCCCCAGGGTCTCCTGACTCAACCCTAGCTAAGCACCTTAGTGTCTTACGTCTGGAAACATTACTACCATTCACCTGTGCTCCCCTAGAACGCTTAGCTTTGCAAAATGCTCTCACAGACATCATCCCATTCTTCCTCTCAAAATTCCACAAGGTAGAAATCTGTTCCCTCCACATCGCCCCTGCTGGCTGGCAAGCAACAAGACCTCAGTGTGGAAGTCCTTCCGTCTCTCCAGCAACTGACCACATGAGCTCCCCTTCTTCCATCCAGGGCTCTGTGTACTTTTGTGAGCCTTTCCCTGGCTTCCCCACCTGCATTTCCTGCCCAGACATCTCTTCATGTCTCTTCCCTGCCCTCTGCCTGCCAAAGATCGGGTCACCCTGTCCAGAACTGAAGGGCTGCAGTGAACATACTGACAGAGTCCCGTATCAATCCTCAGAATCCTCAGGGGGTCAGCCAGTGGTCCCTCTGTTCCCTGTGGCATTGGATACACCCCACCTCCACCCCACACAGGGCCAAGGCTCCTCACCACTGAACTGTAGGTGTGGCCATCGGAGCCGCAGACTGAAGCTAGCTGGGCCATGTGACAGGGCTTGCAGACGGAGTCTTTGCCTCCATGGAATTTCAGAGAAGGCTGCTTGATCCTGTGAAGATGGATGGGGAAACATGGGGATGGGGGGTAAAAATAAGATTTCTAGCAGAAGGTGTAGGAGACATTGTCTGACAGGAGTCCAGTCCAGTGGCCTACGGTAGACCCACTCCCCCATCACCCCTCTCCCCATAAACCCATCTCCTAAAAATGGACCAACTGGGCAGAACATGGACCCTCACTTGGCCTTTCCCAGGGAGAATGCCAGGTCTGATTGCAAGAGGGATCAACCAAAGTGGAGGTCCCGGCCACATCTGGATGTCACGGCCACATCTGGATGTCCCGGTCATTGTGTCTAACCACCCAGGCAGTCACTGCTATGTTTTTCAATGGAGCTATTCAGTAACATTTGCAAAATGGAAGAGTTGGTATAAAACCCCAAATGCCCCTCAACGCCTCCTCCCCCTTCTCCACAGGCCTCAGAACTACAGTCTTCACTATTTCATGAAATCCCTGCATGTTCCAACAGGGGCTTCAGATCATCTGGTCTAACCTGTTTTAGAGACACAGGACACTCAGGGCAGATGAGTTGTGACTCCTTGGGTCTGGAGTGTGTTTGCTAAGATGTGGCACTCTCTTGTCTCTGTCTCTGTCTCTGTCTGTCTCTGCTTCAGTCTGTCTCAGTCTCTCTGTCTCTGCTTCTGCCTCTGTTTCTGTCTATCTCTCTGACTCTGTCTCTTTCTCTCTCTTTCCCTCCTTTCTTCCCTCCCTCCCACCTTCCCTTCCTTTATCCCTGTTTCCACTCACTTATGGAAAGCCAGTTGCCATGGAGTGAAGCCGAGGACACCCCAACCTCCCTCTGGTGCTTTCCAGTGACTAGGAGCTCGCACCTCCAACCAACAGCCAGGAGACAAGTGGGAAGGGAGGGACCCCAACACCAACCAGCACTTCCTGCATTTCCATAGAACCCTAAAGTTCGCACTTTCACAAATACCATCTCCCCAGAAATCTCTCAAGGTGGGAATCTGTTCCCTTACAAGTTCTTCAGGCTTCTCTCAGGGGCCATGTCTTCCTGCCCAAGTTGCCCCCTGCTTGCTGGTGACCCTCAAGAGGGAATCATTTGAACCACAGACCCTGAGCCACACCCAACCAAACCAGTAGGACCAATACTGGGTGTCCTGATGCTCTGAAACTGTGGGTCTCAACTTGTGGGTTGCGACCCCTTCTGGGCTGAATAACCTTTTCATAGGGGTCACCTAAGACCATCAGGAAGCACAGATATTTACATATGATTCCTAACTAGCAAAACCACAGTGAGGAAGTAGCCACCACAGCATGAAGAACCGTATTAAAGGGCTGCACCGTTAGAAAGGTTGAAAGCCGCTGCCCAGAAACAATATGATCGCATGTTCTTTTTCTAAGCCTCTAAATTGTGAGTGATGTCCTTTGCAACAGTAGATGCCTAACATGTAAGGTCAGGGTCACAGAGCCCCGCCTCCGGGCTGTCCCTCACCTGTGCTCCAGCTTCTTGCGGCTGATGCACATGGCACGCTGGTAGCCTTGAGCGACACACACCTTGTGGCGACTGCACTTCACCTTCTGGCAGGGGTCCTTGGTGGTGTCCAGAGCTACGGGAACATGAGGTCAGGACACTGATCACTGAGGAGAACCCAGGATCCCCAGACCCCAGGGGTCCCTCTCTCCAGCAGCCCTCAGTAACCAGAGTTCAGGACTTCAAGTCCTGTGCCCAAGGTGCCTGGTTGTTCAAAGAGCCCCAGAGCAGAGTCACTGCTCTTCTGTCCCTTTGGGGATCAGACTCCTCCCCCACACCCCAGAGGGACAAGCTACCTTCATCTCCTTGCTGGTTGTCTTCCCAGCTCTTGATGTAATCATCCTAGGAAGAGACAGAGGGATGGGAGAAAGAAGGGCCCCAATTACATCTCAGGCTCACCTAAAGACATGAGGATGGGAGGGGTCTAGACCACTGTTTCCACCTACCCAGGCACTGCCCATAACCTCTCCACACTCGATACCCTAGACCCTTCCCAGTCTCTCCCACACGGGACTTCCCACCCCACTCTGGTGGCTGGCCGGGGAAGAGGCCTGGATTGTACTCACTTCTACCTCCTGAAGGCAGAACGCCATGGAATCCACCGGAAATGAGCAGAGGAGAGAAGAAAACAGACTTGGCTATGAGACCCACTCTCAGACCACGCGCCCAGGGCATCCCTGGTCTACTCTGATTGTGATAAGAGTCTAGAGACCCAATCCCCCCAGCAACACCAGTATTGGAGGCCAGTATTGCTGTGTCTTCTGCACACATACACACACACACACACACACACACACACACACACACACACACACACTGAAGGCTGTACTGCCTGGAAATGGTGTTTCTTGTGCCTCTGCCCAGAGTATCTGGGAAACAGCACCCAGTTTCTCCAACTGCAGCCTCTTCTTTGGCAGGCGCCCTGCCGTCACCTGCCCACCCTGTGAGGGAGGCATGAGGAAGGGCTGTGGGAAAGCTGGTGTCTGCTCAGGATTCCTTCCTTCCGACAGAGCTCAGATGGTGCCCACTGGGAAGGCAACAGTGCCCACAGAGATGGTTTTCCTGATTATCACGGTCCAGGGAACCTGAGAGGTCCTTCCAGGTCACATGGGCCAGCCCACCACAGGCAGAGGAAACCAGAACAATCAGAGATGTGCAATTACGTGACTCAGATCCCACCTTCACTGAAGCAGGTCTCTGGTGCCCAGCACAGCCCTCTCTTCCCACTACCTCATGGGATCTCTGAGACCTCGGGCCCTTGGAAACCTTCCCATTCTCTTTCATTGAATGGCCCTGCCTGACCAGAAGAAGAAAAGCTTCCCATAGGCCCACCTCCCTTGCACGAAAGCCCCAACACTCTTTGCCTCTTTTCTCTGCCCTTTGAGGTGGGAAGGGTTGTTGAAGGCCCTCAAACAGCTTCCAGGGTGTCTGGAAGAAACCTTGCCAGGCAGGTAGGAGCAGCTTCCAGATCCTGAAGGATAATGATTCCCGAGAACCAATCGCCAGCTTTCTCTGCACTCTACACTGAGGAGAGACCACATATGGCTACCTGCAACCCATCCCAGTCTTTGCCATATCCCGGTCAGAGATGTGCAGGAGAGGGGGTGGCACAGACCTGGCATTTAGCTGTTATGCCCAGGAGAAGAGGCCATGGGGCTCTGGTATCAGACAACAAGGGTACACAGTGAAGAGATGCCCACAAGGGCTTTGGAAACCACTTCTGGAAATTGACATGTCACAGGACAGCAGGGATGAAAGCCAGGCAGGTAATGGTCAAACTAAAAGTGGGCTATTTATTCAGACCTACCTAGATGCATACATGTATGCCTATGAGCTCGTATGTGTACGTGCGTATGCACACATGTGTGTGTGTTGTGTGTGTGTTGTGTGCGCAGCCAAGTGTGCATTCATCCTCCTCACTTCTATGGATATGTACATAAGCATACAGATGTGCAGCACGTGAACACGGGGCCACTTAAGGCCATCCACCAGTGCCGCCAGATGGTTTATATGCAGAAATGAAGTAGCAGACCCCATTTCTGTGAGCAGCCTCCAGCTTTCACACTTGGTGCAGCCTTCCTGCCTCTTCCATAGATAGGGAAGGTATTAAGAGATGGGTGGAAGAGGAGGGAGGGGCCGGAGAGGAACAGGCTCCCTTAGAGGGAGCAAGGGAGGAGGGAGGGAAGCAGAAGGATGCCTCTGCCTGCTTCTCTTGCTCGCTATCCCTCCCATCTGGCCTCTCCCCTAACTCTTGGCTCTCCTCACCCTGGACACCACAGGATGCCCAAGGAGCCAAGTGTCTCCCAGTCCTTGGGCTCAGGATCAGACAGGAGAAAGGTAACAGAGCCCAAATGCTCAGGGCTTGCTCTGGAGGCCATAAGATGAATGCCACTCCCCGCCCCACCCCCATGCTGGGCCTTTTATAAAAGCAGCCAAAGGATGACAGCTCAGTTCTAGCCCTTCTTCAACAGCATCTCGGGTGCAGGGGTCCACCACCTGGAGCCTCCTTTACTGAAGACGGGAACTAGGCTGAGAATGGCCAGACAGCCGAGGCCGGCCAAGATGACCAGGGCTGGGGCTGAAGTAGGTACCAGCCTTTTTCAGGGGCTGTCTCCTGCTGCTCCCATTTTTTGGAAGATGGGGGGGCAGTATGGTTGTAAGGTGGAAGAAGGGGAGCATGGTGTTACACGCCTACAATTCCAGCAGTTGGGAGCTCGGGCCGGGGGATATCCAATTCAAGGCTAGACTGGGCTACAGGTTGAGACCCCATTTCAAGGACAGAGGATCATGTGATTGTCTGGTGCTTGGGGAGCAGGTGTGAACTGGCTGTCTTTGACCATCAAGATCTGTGCCCTCAACAGACAGCTGCTAAAACACCGGAGTGGGCCAGTCCTGAGGGGATCTGTAATCTTCTATAATCTGGCTGCTCTGGATGGTGTATCTGCTGAGGGCTTTGGAGTCCACTCACAGACTTCAGTCAAAACCCACTGTAGAATCATCAGGACTCAGTACAAAGTGACTTCTTAAAGCTTATGGCCAAGAATGTCTGATTAGAAACTCAAGAGGTAGTGGGAAGGGCTTTTAAGACTCTACCCCCAGGAGAAGACAGCCTCCATGCTGACTTTGGGGACAGAGGAGATCCTTCTGAATAGGAGTACCCTTCAAGGATCCAGCTAAGCCCTGTGACCCCACTGCACAGCTGGTGAGGGGCTGGAGGGATGCCCAGTTCATAATCCCTTGCAACTCAGCCCCTCACTCTGGGAGGTGGAAGCAGCCAGCCAGAGGGAGGAGAACAGGAGGCCCTGCAGCTACCCAGGGTCCTAGGGTCCCAGGGTCCCAGGGTCCCAGGGTCCCAGGGTCCCAGGGTCC